TCTCTGTAAATTTAAGGCCTGATCTAAGTGACAAGGTCCAGCCAGGATACTTAGTGAACACTGTCTCAAAAAAAAAAAGGAGGGGCGTAGGAGGAAGTCCCAAGGTGTAGTGGCACATCCAAGCTCTTGGAAAACAGAGAAAAATCACTCTTTTCAAGTTTACACCAACCTGGGCTACACAGCAACACTGTCTCAAGAAATTTTGTTACTAAGTATCAAGAATTAGGAAGGCAATGTGGAAATCTAGGTCTGAGTATACTCTGAGCGCTCCTGGATTAGAGACACTCCCCTCTCCTGAGGCCAGTGGGTTCACAGAGAGGACATGGGTGGCTGTAGTTGAGTTGGGTGGAGCAAGATGGAGAACTGAACTTTATCCGCATCCTCCTTGCAGCCAGCAAACCTGTTGTTGCTGGCTTCTGCCCTGATTTCCATTCTGGAGAGTCTTTGGTCCATTTGAAAATGTACTAAGGATGGAGGTGTAGCTCAGTACAGTACTTGCCTAGCATGCACAAAGCCTTGGGTTCTTTCTATCTCTAGCACCACATAAGCTAGGCATGCTAATAAGTGCATACATTTCCAGAACTGGGAGGGGTGGGAGAGTGGACTCTGGAGGATTAGGAATTCAAGGTCATCCTGGCTAGATATGGAATATGTAAGACACTTATGTCCCCTCCCCCACCACCTAACCCCTCTCTCATATATATATCCACAAAGAAAATAATGGTGCCTTGCTTCTGTTCCAGTCCATAGCCAGGCTGGCCATGCCTCTTGGAAGTAGAAGTCCAGTGTATTATTCAGCCATTACCTAGAGGTTGGTCTTAAACTCTCGGTCTAGCTAGGGCATCTGCTCTTACCCCAGTCAGAGCACCTGTGGAAATAGTCTTTTGCCAATGCTCATCAGTGCCCCCTATAGCTCTCTGGATAAAGACTCCTTGGCCTGGAGAGATGGCATAGTAGGTACAAACAGGATCTGAGTTCAGATTCCCAGCAGCCATTTTAAACTGATATGATAACACGTTTGTAACTCAGTACTGAGGGAAGGGGGTGAAGAGAACATCCTCAGGGCTTGATGGCCAGCCAGTCTAGCCAAAACAGAGTTAAAGGTTCCATTGAAAGACCTTGTCTCATGCTGGGCAGTGGTGGTGCACACCTTTAATCCCAGTGCTTGGGAGGCAGAGGCAGGCGGATCTCTGAGTTCGAGGCCAGCCTGGTCTACAGAGTGAGTTCCAGGACAGCCAGAGCTATACAGAGAAACCCTGTCTCAAAAAAAACAAAACAAAACAAAAAACAGAAAGACCTTGTCTCGAAGTGACTGAGGAAGGCATTCTAATATTAACTTCTGTCTGATCTCCACGTGTGCTAGCATGGTTGCCTGTACCCCACATGCACAACACATACACAAACACAGATTCTGTTCTAGTAGCCCAAGGTTCATTCTGAAACCTCCCCATCTTCTTCCATGGCCATGTTCTTCATACCTGCTTCTTCTGGGAAATGTAAGAATCTGGAAAAGAAAAACCTAAAGACCTCCTTGGTACCACCCCAGTTTGTCTTACCACTTCCTTGTATCCTAACTTAAAATCAGAATTACCCTCTATCACCTCTTTGTCCTGGTATCTGTAGCCAAAAGGCTACAGATTAGTCACCTGCTAAGCTAGGTCCTCCAGGCCCTACATCCCTGTCACAGCCCTCCTATCTTTTCTTTTTCTCCACAGAATGAGTTACAGCAGCCATACTTGGTTTTGAATCAGTTTATTAAGCCAAAGTAAAAGAATAGCAAGTGATTAGTGGGGAGGTGAAGGGAATAAATAGATACCTACAACTTCTTGGCCAGCTAGTCTAGCAACTTGTTTCAAAAAATAAGTTGAAGACCCTGATGGCAACCTTTAACCTCTGCAAACATAGGCACAGATTCATGCACCCACACAAAATAAGGTAGATAGATGTCATAATGTCCGCATTTGGGACCGTCTGGATGAAAGGGGAGGAGTTGGGAAGACTAGGAGATTTGGGAAAATGTCTTCTCAGTGGTTCCTGTCCCAGAAACATAGTTTTGGGAATCAGATATCAGGGATGTAAAGAACTTCCACTGCACCCTGTTTGCTGCCTAAAGTACCTGTCTATCCTTGTTGCTTTACACATGCCCAGTCTTTGCTCTTCTGGGAAGCCTTGCAGATCCCCATCCCCACCCATGCTCAGGCCACCACACACCCTGCTCCTGAACTCCCATTAATCCCCGACCTCCTTCTCTTTAAACTGAGACACCATAGTGCTCTACCCCCAACTCCCACATAGACAACAAAGTCTTCCTAGTGCCCTAGCTTTCTAGTAGAGAACACTCTAGAATGTCAGTGTGGGAAAAGCCTCTGCTGTCAGGCACTTGAGGTTGACTTGACAAATTGACAAATGAGGTTGACTTGAACAGATGGGACAATTCCTAGAGACTTGTCTTCGGGGGTCAAGTTTCAGGCTACGTGGGTAATTATGCACTAACAGTTCGGTCACCTCAGGGATGCCAAATTGCTTATATTATCCTGTCTAAGAGAGGTGGAGAGCAGCAACTAGCTCGTGTGTGCATACGTCTGGACCGTGCTCCGACTCACTCTGGCTTCCTCCTTCAAACAGAACTACCAAATCTTCCAGGCACACCACAATAATTTATTTGGCCCTTGAGCATTTTAGGCTTCTAGATCCATAGTTCAGTTAGAACCACCAGGTCATGCTCATGCAAGCAAAATACAAAGTTGGGAGGTGTCTGGAAGCCATGCTTGGAGCTTACAGACCACCCTGCACGCTCTCCTGCTGGGTCACCTGCTGTTCAGCCCTTTAGCTTGTAGCTGGCCTTGATTGCCTACTGTGTGCTTCCAGGCCAGCAAAAAGATCAAAGGACAGCTGTGGGATTGGTTTTTCCTCTCCACCTTCCGTGGATTCCAGGAAGAATATTTGTCTAGCAAATATTTAAACCATAACCACAACAACCCCTAGCCCCATCTCACTGGCCCATTGTTTTCGGTTTTGAGATTGGGTCTCCACTCAATCACCAAACCTGAATTGAGTGTATGATCCATCAGCCACACTCTCAACCAGTAGCTAGGATTATAGGCATGGTTTCTTTCCTATTCCTACTCTGACTCCATTCATCAAGATTCTGGAAACTTAAAATGCAGATTAAGCCATCCCTATCCACTCGAGACTCATGTAAAAACAGATTCATTTCTAGGAACTGTGACCCAAGACAGGAAAACAGAAGCATCAGAATCTTGATGCTGTGTGCTAAAATAACGGAGGCATGTCTTCTAGCCTAAGCTGCTTTCTTTCCATTTAAATAAGCTCATGAAACCTCACCTGGCTCATTCCCAAGAGTTATAAAGGTTCTTGCTACTCTGTCAGCCTCATAATACCCCACAGCAGATTCATCACCTAAGTCAAAACATACATCTATTTTGTTTCTAAGATTGTGGTTCATTGTGTGTATTCCTTGCTGCACTGGAACTATGGCCTTAAACTACCAGACTTTCCAACCCTCCTGTTTTTACCTCCCAAGTTCTGTTTTATGAGACTCTGGAAATCAGATTTAAGGCTTTGTACATGCTATATAAGTCACTACCAACAGAGCTACAAACCTTGGATTTATTTTATTATTTTATGTTATCTTCCTTTGACAGGGTCTCAACTCCCCCCCTATCCCCCCAAGACAGGTTATCAGTATGTAGCCCTGGCTGTCCTGGAACTTGCTATGTAAACGAGGCTGGCCTAGAACTCAAGAGACCTCTGCCTCCCAAGTGCTGAGATAAAGTCTAGCTGGAGGATGGCTATGCATTTAATATCCTCTTGCCCCTAATCTCCCAAATGCTGGGATTACAGATGTGTGTCACTGTACCTAGGCAGAACATGCATTTTCTGGTTAATTTTCTGAGTCTGGGTCTCATTATGTAGCACTGGCTGGCCTGAAATTCACTATGTAGATTAGGCTAGTCTTGGAAATGTAATGAACTTCCTACTTCTGCTGGGATTACAAGTATGCATCACTATGCCAAGTGCTTAAAGCATGCACTTTGTGACTCCAGGGACACCAACACATGTCTACTCATCTTATGCACTGGAACCACCCTGCTAGGGTCTAAATAGTCCTCCTGCTTGGACCACATCCCAGGCTAGTGACATCAGAATCTCTGGAAGACCTTTTAACAGGTCAAGGAATTCTATCCTGTTCCCAAACTGAAACTCATAGCTCTGTGCCCTGCTGAGTGGTTTTGCTCCTATGGACTGACTGAATCCTGTGCTCAGGGCTCTCCTTTTCCTGTATCTACTTTTGTCCCACTTTGGGCTCTCAAGGGCTGTTTCCATTTTCCTGCAATCCAGTTTTCTGGTTTCTCCTCTCTCTGCTTCCTTAAGTTTCCACTAGAAACTTGAGAGTCCTAAAACCCCCTACCTTCACAGGAACAGTGATATCCCCTCAGCCCAGGACTTACAAATCTTTTAATACCACCCACCCATAAATCTGCTACCCAGTTGATTATGCTTTAGGTGTACAGCCCTGGCTAATGGGGCATTTGTCACCTTAACAGGGAAGTCCTGTTGAGAATACAAGTGGTGAAACAAGGTAGATGAAGCAATACAGGTCCTCCTGTATGTCTTCACCATTGCACCAGCCATATCTTAGGTCTAACTCTTTAGAGACTTCCTAAGACCCAGAGAAAACCATAAAATCCCTTCTGAGGTGCTCTGTTTTTATGGCTGTCCCGAGTTTGGCCTAAGCTTGCTTCTTTGGCCTGTCAGGACCCCAAAGTGTTAAGACTAAGGGGGACAATAGGGAATCAACAGGCTAGTGGCAGCTACAAACTATGTGCTTTAGACATATGCTTAGGTCTAATGACCTAATATTGGGGACAGTAGTGGACAGGCAGGAACTCAAGGAGGGGACAGAAAGGCCATCTCCGCCTCCTTCCTTCTCTGCCCTCCCCACCTCGACAGCCCCCACTTGGTGTGTCAGCCCGTGGAGCAGAAACCACAATTACTTCCTCAAGGCAGAAGCCTAAGCTCAGAACCAATTCACCCTGTGGTTCATCAGCCCCTGAAGCCATGGTGAGTCCTCAAGCCCCCATTGGAAGTTCATTCTGGCCAGGTAACAAGGGGCACAAGTGGAAACTGGGGAACTGGTAAATATGCCGCCATGGGTAGCCTAGCAGAATAGAGCTAGAACAATCTTGGGGATGAAATGAACCAGGAAAAGATAGGGAACAGCCAAGGCATAATAGCTTGAGCTCCTGTGAACCAGCTTTGTATCTGTGACTACAAAGCAGTGTGGTGCTTGTTGGGTCTGAGTGGAACAATATACCCTCAAACCAGGATATAAGCAGAGGCTTCCTGTGGGATGATTAAAGGGGTCACGCACCTGCTACACCAGTCCCCATCTCCAGCCAGTTACCCAAGTTGTGCTCTGCTAAACCCTTATCTACCCCTGTGGGTCATCTGGAGCTGTTGCCTCAACTCACTTAGACTGGGGCTTTAACAAAGGCATATCTGACCCCAGGCAAGAATTGCTTCCTTCCCAGAGATTCTTTTGAGTCCATCTCTAGATGGGTTCACAAGGTTCTGTCCTCTCTGTCCTCTGTCCTCCAATCTTCTTTACCCTTGGTGAAGATAGGCTGGGAGTATCTAACTATATATCTACCAGTACCTATGACCTAGGGCAAAGAGCCGGTCAGACTTGAGAGCACTGGAGATGTTCTGAACATGCCATAGGGTGCCTGTACTCATTTGGGGAGCCTGCCTGCTGGTCCTCATGAGGGGTTTCATGAGTCATGTCAGGAACTATGAGACCTTGTACCCACATATTAGATAAATTCATGTGGAGATTGTTAACTTAGCTAGACTGGCTGGCCAGCAAGCCCTAGAGAACCTCCTCTCTTAACCTCTCCAGAGCTAGGATGACAGGTACTCCTCCTGACTTCTTTATGTATGAATACTGAAGATAGAACCCAGGCTTGCATGACAAGTACTTTGCCTACTGAGCAGTCTCTCTAGCCCCCCAAATAAAATTTTAACAGTGTGTAGTCAATCTGGGTATGGTGGTATACACCTGAAATCCCAGCACTCAGACTGCTTGAAGCAGTAGAACTGTTGAATCCCAGACCAGCCTGGGCTACATAGTGAGAAACTGATTCAAAACAAACAAACAAGTAAACAACTAAAGCTAATGGTGGCACACACCTGTAATCTCAGCACATGGGAGTGGAGGCAGAAGGATCAGGAGTTCAAGGTTATCGTCAACTATAAAGCAAGTTTGAGGCCAGCCCAGGATATATGAGACCCTACTTTAAAAATACAGACAAAACCCCTCATCACTGAGGAGTTACAGCTCATTGCTACAGAGCTTGTTTATTAAGGTGCTGGATTTCATCCCTAATACCACAAAAATAAAACCCCTCAAAACAACCCTGTAAAGACAGCAGAACTAATATAAAAAGCTTCATAGGTCATAGGAGACAAAGAAAATAGAAAATGCTGATGAATGTGGGCAACTGGGAAGAGAAAACTGATTTTAAATGGGGTTGTCTCTGAGGTCACCCTTAAGGAGTATTATCATAAAGACATGGAGGAGGAAGAGGAGAGGCCCATGTATTGAGTGGTATGCATTATAGACAGGATAGAGGCTATGAGATGGGGAGGGATGTTGCAAAGTCATTCAGGGACTGTTTGCTTTCTCCAGAGATGAAAACTCACTAAGAGATTGGGAGCAGGCACTTAGCATGCATCCTCTAGGGCAGCAGACCAGGAAGGACCCCATTACAGTGATCCGGACTGTGGTAGACAGTTCCTCTAGCTGGGGTGACAGTGAGAAGTGGTTGAATTCCGGATGTATTTTGAAATTGAAAAAAAAAAAAAGGACTGGGGAGAACCTGGTGGTCAGGCAGAGGACAAAGAGAGGATCAAGGGGGAGCAATGGTACAAAGATGCTGGGAAGGCACTGTTGATCAGAAGTACTATGTGAGAGCCACGGGCTAGTGGAGAGGCGTAAGTAGCAAGGTCCTGTTAGAGGTTAGACACAGCTTAGGTGGAGGAGTCGGGAGGGTGTGGGTTCCAGGAACCTGGGGACAGGAATAGTTCTTACCCAAAAAAGAGAAGCTAGCTGAGGTTGGGGAAGAGCCAGTGTTAGAATGGGAACCTAAGGGGAGAGGAGGGGGATGGGCTTGTGTGCCTGTGACCAACTGTAACTGTTTCTGTATCTACCTTCTTGTTATGAGACCCTTCCTGAATGACCCATGTCCTTTTAGGGGAGCAATCAGGACTTCCGAAACCTCCAAGCTAAGTTCCAGGCCTCTCAGCCAGAACTTGGAGAACCGTTCAGAAAAACCCCAAAACCTGAGTTCAACAAACTCCTGAAGAAGTTTCCACAGACTGAGTTAAGTGAGCAGCCCAAGAAGTCCTCACAGTCTGAGCTCAGTGTAGTATCCTTGAAGCCACTGCAGCTGCAGTCTGTAGACCTCCCCAAGAAGCCCCCACAACCCGAAGTTCTTAAAAAGTTGCCACAGCTTGAGTTCACTGATCTAGCCAAGAAGCCTGTACAAGCTGAACTCCCAAGGAAGCTTCTGCATCCAGAGTTCACTGGTCTCAAAAAGCCTTCCCAGGCTGAGTTTGTAGACCTCAAGAAGCCACCACACCCCCAGTTTGCCAGCCTCCCAAAGCCCCCACAGCCTGAATTCCCTAATCTCCCCAAGAAGCTCCCCAAACCTGAGTTTGGAGAGCCTTCCAAGAGATCTCCACAGCTTGAGACACCCCAGGAGCCTAGTATACCTGCCCAGAAGCCCCTGAAGCCTGAGCTCAACAATCCTGCTAGGCCTCTAGGAGACCTCAAACCCAAGAAGTTTTGGCAGCTTGAGTCCAATGAGGCCCCTCTGAGGCCCTTGCCATCTGAGTTCAGTACCTTTCCCAAGAAGCCACAGCAGCTTGAGGCTGTTGGTTTCTCTAGGAAGTCCCTGACACAGTCAGAGTCCATCGAAGTTCCTCAGACATCACCCTCTAAGCGTGGGTCCAGTGAGTTTTACTCCCACCTCCCACAGCCTGACATCAGTACCTTTCCTAAGAGCAGTGTGAAGTCTGAGTTCAATGAGAACTTTAGGAAGCCTCTATATCCTCAAGCCACTGGTTGCCCCAAGTCCCCAAAGCAGCCCATGTTCTATGAGGTCCCCCAGACACCCCCCTGGAAGTCTGAGTCATGTAACCCCCAGTCTCACTCCCCGCTGCCAGACTTCAATGCATTCCCCAAGAAGCATCCACAGCTCCAGCCAAGTGACCTTACCAGGACATCCTCGGAGCCTGAAGTCTGCAAGGTTCCCAAGAAGACTCAGCAGCCAGACCCCAATGTGCTTTCTAAAAAGCCCTCACAGTCAGAATTGGGTCACCTCCCTAGAACATCCTCAGAGCCCGAGTTCAGCTCGCTCCCGAGGAAGTTTCTACAGCCTCAACACGGAAAGTTCTTCCAGCCTGAGTTCCCCAAGGGTCTGCCTAGAAAGCCCAAGCTTCCTGGTTCTGTGTCTGAATGTTCCCTGCCCTCTGCTATTGCGGGCTCCAACTCCCAGCTCCCTCTCAGCCCTGGGCTTAGAGTCCCTGGGAAACCCTGCTGGAGATCAGAAGACTTCCAAGTCCAGCAGCCACCCCGACGGCGGCCCCTGCCCTCAGCCAGCAGCCTGGGACTCCCCCCAGCCAAGCCCCCACTACCACCTGTCCCCATCAATATCCAAAACTTCAGGAGAGCCCCAGCAACAGCCACAGGTGAGTTGGGGTAGGTGGCTCAGGCAGAGGAGGGTGCTAAATATCTGAGCAGAGCCATTTCCCTTCCTTGCTCTTTCCTCCACAGCTGTACTGAAGACACGCTCTTCTACTGGGAACCACTTCCAAGCCCAACAACCTCAACATAATGCACAGTGAGTGTATGGAGAGAAGGGTCAGGCATGGGTGTGAGGCTAAAGAGAGCCCTCATTTCAAGTGTCCTTTCAGGAACCCAGATGAGATCTATGAACTGTATGATGCTGTGGAGGCCACAGATGACTCTAGTCTCACCCCCGGAGGCAGAGGTTTGTAGGTGGTCTTGGTGGTTGGCCTGGGTACCCATGAAACATTAATTGCAAAGGCATTATCTCATGCCCCAGGTTTAAGATCAGAAAGTGATCCAGACCAAAATGGATGCTGGTGGGCTAGATGGTGAGGAAGGGGAAGCCCAGAGGTACACAGGCAGCCACGTTTTGCTGTAGGTAGAGGCAAGGTCCAGTGAGGTGACAAGAGAATTAACAGCAATGAAAGAATTGACAAAATCAAAGTTGACAAACAAGAGTAGGCAGTACAGTAGGCAGGGAATGAGTGAGATCATGATATGGCATGTTCCCTTTATAAAGGGGGCAGGATGACCAACCTTTGCTACTTAGCAATCAAGACCAACATGGATTAGATGAAATCTTGCAAACAAAACCAAATCAAATCCTACCCACAAGGTTCCTTGCAGTCCATCCTAGAAGGATACTCCAGCAAGATGTATCCCTGAAATCAGAAGTTTAGGCTGGAGGAAATGTGGCAGAAGTTTCTTTTTAGTCAATTCAAGGGACTCCAAGATTGGTACCTCCATGGCAACATGAGCTTCTATGAGAAAACTGCTGATTCTGCAGCTACAGCCAAGGAAGTTACCAATGAGTTCAAGTATCTAAGATTAGGTCAACCAGTTGATTCCAGCTGTTGGGATCCCAGCTGAACTTCTCTTCCCGACTGTCTTACTGGGCCTCCTAGGAGGGGACTCTAGGCTTTAAGATGCACTTGCTCTCCCCGTCCCAGCTGGAGGTCCACATACAAAGCCAGGTGCCTTCAAACTCTCCTGCCCTTGCTCCTTCCTGGGTCCCTTTTGTTTGCTTATCGTGATATAACCATGACAATATTTACAATACCTCCTTTAGTACTTTTTGTCTTTCTTTCTTGGTTTTTAGAGATAGAGTTTCTGTGTAACAGCCTTGGATGTCCTGGAGCTCACTCCACAGTCTAAGCTGTCTTTGAACTCAGATATATGACTACCTCTGCCTCTTAAGTGCTGGTGGGAGTTTCTTATCTTGCCCTCTCATGCTTCCATTGAAAAGATACTCTATGGTTTGTTTCTTTTTGGGGTGGGTGGGGGAGTTGGTTGGGTTTTTTGATAGGGTGCAGCTTTGCAGAGAAGCTGGTGAGAGCCTTGGCTACTGTTTCCAGAATTAAGGACCTCCCTTTCCTAAATAGACCACACCCCTGCCCCCCAATGATTTTATTAGTAACATCCTCCCAGTCTTTATTCACTTTTCTTCAAGATCATGATCAAATACCAGACTTCTGATTTTCTTTCAGTGGAATGTTGTGTGAGCCTTCCTCTGGGCACACAGCCTCTTAAAGGCTGCTTTGAGCATTTCAGTAATCTTTTTAGAGTGGCCTGAAACCACTAGCTTCTCCCTCCTATACTTGGGTTCCTTTGAAGGAAGGCAGGCCCCCTCTTTTTTCAGCTGAGGACTAATCTGGGGGATAGGCAGGGTTCAGCCTTTCCAGGATATGTACAGACCAACAGAAAAGGCAGACTGCCAGTGGCCTGTTCAGAACAAGCTGTAGAGTAACCAAGGACCACACAACCCAGTAATATCCGTCAAGTTTGCTTCTAACAAGTTTGCTTCTATGAGACCACACAAGGCTGAGGCAGGTGCAGTACAGGTTCTAGGTAGAAATCAGATATTTGCAGTAGAATGAAGATCAAGAGGTGTACACAGACACCCCCTCTGTGGGCTGCTCACCAGAAAAGTCAGTCTGAAATGTCCACAGTGATATCTGGGTCATTAGCAAAAATTAGGCTTTTGATTTAGGCCTTCACCCAGGCTTCAAGAGGTTGGCATGCAAACTCTCTGCCAACAGTTGGACTCACTCTGGAAGCCTGGCTTACTGCTGGGAAGTAGTATAAGTTAGCCCCCTGGGAAACTGGCCAATCAGCCTCAGCAGCAGAAGTTTCAGGCTAAAAACCCCACACTGGCTGCTCCTCCTCAGAGGCAAGCAGTGGATGCCTGCTATAAGAGAATGACTGTTTTTAGCTCTGAATCCAACATCTTATTGTAACTTCCACCATATTCTGGGAGGCAGAAGCAAAATGGTTCCCAAAGCCTACAACTTGTAGGCTGGTCATGGTGGCCACACCTTTAATCCCAGCACTCAAGAAGGCAGAGGTGGACAGACTTAAATTCCAGGGTAGCCTGGTCTACATAAAATTCATCCTACCATCCTACCTTACTAGCTGGGTAGCCTTAGACAAACTTCTCAGCCTTTATTTTCCTCACCAAAGTGAACCTTACCCAGAAGAACTGGTGAGTTGAAAGAAAGGTAGAAAAAAGTGGCTGAGATTCAGGGAATCACTGAGAACTCAGAGCGGGCAGGAACATCTCACAAGTCACTAGGGTAGAGGCATACAGCAGGGGGCCTTTGTCCTGACTCTGTCCAATGCTCTCAGATGAACTGCAGTCTACCCAGCAAGCCACCAGATGGCCTCAACAGGAGCCAGAGCTCAGGTACACAAGGCAAATGGGGTGTTATGGTGTTGGGCTGAGCTCTGGTACTCTGATGGGAGTACTTCTTGCTCATAAATACTCCGATACCTGGGTCTTTCAGGAAGGCCACTCAGCCACAGCAGCTGCCAGCCACAGACCCCAAGCTGCTGAAACAGATCAGGAAGGCAGAAAAAGCTGAAAGAGAGTTTAGAAAGAAGTTCAAGGTGAGAACATGGAGCAAAAAATGAGTCCTGGGAAAATTGGTACCCAGGGCCCAGGACTTCCTTCCTGAGGAAGAAACCAAGCTAACAGAAGTTAAGACTTAACATGATGTTCTTCAAGTTTGAAGGTGAAATTGTGATTCACACAAAGATGATGATTGACCCCAATGCCAAGACCCGTCGCGGGGGTGGCAAGCACCTGGGCATCCGGCGTGGAGAGATCCTAGAGGTGATTGAGTTCACTAGCAAGGATGAGATGCTTTGCCGGGACCCCAAGGGCAAGTGTAAGTGTGCTTGGCCTACATCTAGAGAAAGGAGTGAGGGGTGCTAGGGCTAAGAATACATTCTACCCATTCTCTCCTGCAGATGGCTATGTGCCCAGAACTGCATTGTTGCCCTTGTAAGTGTTGGTCATGCCTGGGTGGAGTGGTGAACACCAGGGTTGTCCTCTGCTGACTATACTATGCTCTCTCTCCCAGGGAAACTGAAGTATATGATGATGTCAGCTTCGGGGGTATGTACAGTGATTCCCATAAGGGATGCTTTGTATCATGCCTCTGTGGCACAGGGTCACTTGAAATTCATCCTTCTCTGCAGACCCTCTGGACATGCAACCATTTCCTCAGTGACAGCATGGCAGATAAGTGGATTCCAGGACCAACAGTCCAGCCACTGCTCATTCAGGAGCCCTGGATCCCAGCCTGGCAACCAGACACCCAAAGGCATGTGCTTATATAAAACTCCTCTTTAAAATATCCTTGTTTCTTGTCTTTTCTCTCCTTCCTTGCTGGCACACACAGTAGAACACAGGCACCAAAGTTGGGGAAAAAAAAAAAAAAACAGTTACCCTCCTAATTAAAAGGAGCTGATGAGAGGATACATCCACACATAACTTGGATGACTAGTAGCTACACTTGAAAGCCCCTGTAGGCTACAAGCATCTGTGTTGCCAACTGAGGGAAATCTATGATGACTCATCACTGGTGGGGCTCCTGCCTAACAAGACATCATTATGAAGTATGTCCCAAACAGTGACATTCTCAGTGGGCTTGAACAAAGAAAAGCCAAAGTTAAGTGAGCTGGGACTCACAGAATAAAGCTACAGGATGACTTTCAGGATTGCTGCAAGATATTTCAGGATTGCTATTATCACACCTAGGAAAATAATGACCTTCTAAAATCTTTACTAGTAGTGTTCCTAGTATAACCAGGTCCTCTCTTCAAACCCTGGGGCCCACAGACAAGCAACAATGAGGGTGAGATCCCTGGTGTTGACAGCTTTGAGGAAGAAGGAAGTGCAAGCTGCCTCACTCTGCAGACCTCAAATGGCCACCTCTACAAAATACACAAAAACAAAAAAGGCAAGCCACTTTCAGGAACTGGTATTTATTATCAAAGTCATATTCGATGTCAACAAGATGCCACAACTACAAAAAAAATTGCGCACATTGCAATCTCAATGCAAACAGTCAAATGGAACCCCAATCATTAAAAAATTAATTCAAATTACCCCAAAAAGCAACTGAATTTTTTAAACATCTTTATACATCCAGCCAACAAATTAAAATGGTTAACAAGAAAAAATACAAATTCAGAGGTCTGGTACTGATGTTTAAAAAAGGCAACTGCTTAAGCATTTCTATCAATTCGAACATCAATCTCTCGGCCACTCAGCTTCATGCCATTCATCATCCGGCAGGCTCTTTCAGCCACCTCTGGAGACTCAAACTTAACCACACCGCACCCCTTGGACTTTCCGTTCTCCATCTTGATGTCGGCGTACAGCACGTGGCCTGGCACAGGGAGGGAAGAAGAGACCACACGCATCAGGCAAACCCAGAGCTCAGCCTCAGTCTGGGCTCCACTCAGTCCAGATCACCTGTTGGATTTCGGTGACAGAGTCAAAAAGGAGAGACCCTTTCGTATGAAGTGAATGCTCAGAACACCACGTATGGCGGCGCCAGCAACTACAGCCCCCTCCACTACATTGCCATTGTTCTCCAAGCACACAACAGCCTAACCTGCTGTGAAGAACCCGCTGAATGGGTTCAAATGTTTGCCCTTATGCTCCAGCAAGTTACAGAGACGGGACTATGGAGCCAACTTTAGATTGTTTAGAAGGTTGATTGTTGAATACAACTATCTTGTCACAAGGCCATTACCAATATGATGGTTCTATACTGCCCCAATGTAAGGCAAGTATACCTAGTGAGCAGCTTACGGACCTATATGATTATTATGTACCCAGGTATGTGTCACGTACAAAAGAAATGGGTTTATAATAAAGTAAGAGTCAAAGACACAGTAGTGTTGTTAGAGCCCATAATTCTAGTGCTACTAATGGCTTGGGGAGAGATGACAATCCAGTGGCTTCTCATGATAAAGTTCTGAAAGATATTAAGTAGACATTCATCAGAATAAACATTCCTGCCAGAGCAGGACACAATGGTACACACTTGGAATCCCAGTACTTGGGAGGCTAAAGCAAGATTTTGAGTTCTAGGCCAGTCTGGAGCTACCTGGCAAGGCCCAAGCTCAAAAGGGATTGTCAAAACAGAAGAAAAAGAGGGAAGACAGAAAGAAAAGTGGACCTGTGTCTCACCTGTAACCCCAGCCCTTGGGAGGTAGAAGTAGAAGAGTCAAGAATTCAAGGTCACTAAGCATGCAGCTCAGTGGACACAGTGCCTTGCCTAGCAGGCATACATCAAACTCCTGGTTTGAGACCCAACATCTGTACAAACCAGGCAGGGTGGCACACCTCTGTAATCCCATTCAGGATGTAGAAGTAAGCAGTCTACAAGTTCAAGGTTATTTTCAGCTATATAGTGAGGGCCCATCTGAGTTTCAAGAGACCCAATCTACAGAGTACACACCCCCAAAGAAAACCTAAGAGTTCAAGGTCATTGTTGGCTACATAAGGACTTTGGAGACTATCTCAAAAAGAGGAAAAAAGAGAGGAAAAGAGTAAAGGGGCGGAGAGAATTTTCTGGTAGGAAAGCAGAGAATATCAGCAGAACATGTAACTCATGTTCAAGGGCAGGAGAGAAATGGAACCAAGTCTCCAGAATCTTTTGAATATGCATTTTCTCTGAAGTGGGGAGTGACACATTTCATTCCGTTTTTGGAATATCTAGCCACAATATTGACGGTCATGAAGACTGCAATTCAGAGAATCACAGAACCAGCAAAGAAGGTTGGCTTTGGACTCCACAGCTTATCCCAAAGAATCAGGGAAAGCACCAAGCACACTGGAATGTGAGCCATTTCTGCATGAGGAACAAGAAACAGGTGTCTTGACCCAGCAGCCACCCACCCACACCTTGGTTTAGCTGAGAAGGTGCAATGAGAACAGGGGAAGACTGTATCGTGGTCACCAAAGCTTTCCAGAAAGGTTGTCTCATATGTTAAGAATCCACAATCAGAGACTTTCACTCCACACCATGTGCTCAGATCTATAACTGCTGATCCCGAGTTCTCTGAGCAACCAAACCAGCCATGAGCTTAAAGGAGGAAAGCAATTTTTCTTGAATTTACTTTTTGCCTCTTAAAAGTCTGTGACCTTAGGAATAATGCTTTGCTGACTCTTATGTAAAAAGGTGACAATACTGCTTCCTTTCAGAAACTGAAAACACAGGAGAGGTGGCATTTACCTATAGTTTCAGCAAATGCAAGGCAGAGGCAAAAAGAGAATCATGAATTCGAATCTAGCCTAGGTTATAAAGTGAGAGTCTGCTTCAAAAACCTAACTAGAAAAGAACTGCAAGGATGAAATGAGCACACAGAATGACACATACCAGGACACCCAACACCTGCCTGTATACCTGCAGAGGTAGAACAATGGCAAGGCCTATGGACTCTCGAGCCCATGGACAGTGGTTGTTAAGGCTAGGAAAGAAGCTTCACTGCTCCAACTCAATAGCATCACCAACAAGCCACAACACAGGAAAGCACAGGGAGCCTATTTTAAACAGACACTTACCACATTCATTGAATTTGTCCTTTAGCATCTTCCATGTAAAATCAAATGGGAGCTGAGGAAAAAAGAGGCAGACTAATCTGTGATACAACAAAGTCTTAATGTACAAACATTACAACAGATATGAGAATATGATTGGAAGGTACTTGGGCTGGGTGTGTAGCTTATGGGGTATACGGTGATTTGCCTAGTATGTGTACAGCCCTAGGTTTAATCCCCAATAATCCCTTCTACTCAAAAAAAAAAAAACCAATCCTCATTTCCTGACCTCTTTAAGACAATCCACAGGGAACAAAACCAGTCTATCTAGAATTAGGCTATTAAGTGACACAACTCACAGTTTGGTGACAAAATATAATTCAAGTAGTCACCTTTCTCAGAATCCCTGTGCCAAGACTGAAGTGCTCCTCAGTCCAAGGGATCAGAGACCACAGACCTTTGGAGCTCAGTCTATGCCTCACGTGGCATATCATAGGCAAATGCCAGGCTATTGTACTTTTGTTTCCTTGTATTTGGAGACAAGTGTCTCATTTGGTAGCTCCTGTTAGACTGGCTCTCACAGAGTGCCACCTCATCTCTGCCTCTAGAGTGCTGGTATTAAGGGAGTGGGCCACCATGCCTGGCACTGGGACTACTGTTTTTCCAGAAACCCCTCAACCTCCAGCCCAACTCTGGAGATGGGCAAGCTATACCACCTATACTGCCCAGTTCTCCCTTCATCAGACTTTCCTCTCCATCCTATATCACTCAGTCCACTGACCTCCCCACAACTTCATTTACAACACAGGAATTCCACTAAAGAGCCACTTACATTTCTCACAAATATCTGGCAGGCCTTTCTGGCTACTCCAGGTGCATGGCCTCCAGCTCCACCAAAGGAACCTGCGAAGCTTCCTCCAAAGTTGCCCCGCTCCATCTCAATGGCTCGGTCAAAGCTAGCACCGCCAGCGCCACCCATGGCCAGGCCCATTCGCTCAATACCAGCGCCCAATGCCGGGCCCATGGCAGGGCCCATACGTTCCAGGCTGTTGGCGCCCATTCGCTCCAGGCCCATGCGCTCGAGACTGTTGGCTCCCATGCGCTCAAGGCCCATGCGCTCCAGGTTGTTGGCGCCCATGCGCTCCAGGCCGGTGGCCATACGATCCATCACAGGACCCATGCGCTCCAGGCCGGCCCCCATGCCTGTGGGCACCATTCGATCCATGCTTAGGCCCATGCGCTCAATGGCAGGACCCATGCGCTCTACACCAGAGCCCATGCGCTCAATGGTTTGGCCCACACGGTCAATGGGTGCGGCCATGCGCTCCAGGCCGAAGCCCATGCCGGCACCCATTCGCTCCACACCAGAACCAATGCGCTCCATGGTCTGGCCCATGCGCTCAATACTGGAGGCCATGTGGTCAAGGCCTAGTGGGCCCATGCGCTCGATGCCGGAGCCCATGCGCTCAACTGAGCCCATGCGGTCCATGACCAGGCCCATACGCTCAATCTCAGAGCCCACTCGATCCATGCCATGGCCTAAGCCTGCGCCCATGCGCTCCATGCCAGCACCGCTAATGCGGTCAATGCCAGGGCCCATCCTCTCGATCCCTGGGACACTGCCTCCAGCTCCACCTGAAACAGGAATAAAAAGCACAAGTGGAAGTCAGGGACTTGTGTAGATGTTCATATACCAACGTATGTATGCCTGGCTGGACACTTTAGATCTAAGTGCTCATTGAAGGTCATATACCAAAATGTTTGCAATACTCAATGTATGCAGTTTCAACAAAC